GCTGGCACTGAACTCACTATGTATCTGAGGCAGGACCTAGAACTCCTGATCCTTCTGCTTCCATTTCCTAAGTGCTGAGAATAATCTGCCTTGAGAATACATAAGATTGAAAATAAGTAACAAATATTTTATGTAATTAAAAAAACTGGTAACTGGGGCTGGAGAGTCAGCAGTTAAGAGCACTGACTGCTCTTGCAAAGGACCTGGGTTCAATTCCCAGCACCCACATGGTAGCTATCCTTAACTCCAGTTCCAGGGGAATCGGAAGCCCTCTTCTGACTTCCATGGCATTGCAGGACATGGGTGCACTCACATACATGCAGGCAATACACTCATACACATAAAATAAAAATAAAATATTTAAAAACTGATAACTTGAAGTTAAATCCAAAAATGTCTAAAAGGTTCACAGAAATTAACATAAAATACTTTTCCAGGCACAAAAGTTTACTTTTGAATTGTTAAAAGGGGGCCTAGAGAGATGGCTCAGTGGTTAAGAGCACTGAATGCTTTTGCAGAAGACCCAGGTTTGACTCCCAGCACCGATATGGCAGCTAACAACTATCCTAAACTCCAGTTCCTTCGTGAACATTACATGCACATAATGCACTTACATAATACAGGCAAAACACTAATACATATAAAAAAGAAAAATAAAAATTTTAATTGTTAAGAGATTAAACAACAACAACAAAAAGAGATTAAACAATTCTTTTAAAATCATTATTTACAGCCAGGTGTGGTAGCGCACACCTTTAATCCCAGTACTTGGGAGGCGGAGGCAGAGGCAGGTGGATCTTTGTGAGTTCGAGGCCAGCCTGGTCTACATAGTGAGTTCCAGGACAGCTGGGGCTACAGGGAGACCCTGTCTCAAAAAGACAGAAAAAAAAAATCATTATTTACTTTCAAAATTCCTTTGCAAACTGGGTCAAAAGTTATTTTTATGCTGGTAGTGCACACCTTTAATCCCAGCACTTGCACTTGGGAGGCAGAGGCAGGTGGATCTCTGTGAGATCCAGGCCAGCCTGGTCTACACAGCAAGTTATAGGCGAGCTAGGGCTACAGGAAGACCCTGTCTCAAAAGATCAAAAGAAGGGGTGGAAAGATGGTTAAGAGCACCGACTGTTCTTGCAGAGGACCTGGTTTCAATTCCCAGCACCCACATGGTAGTTAACAACCATCTGTAGCTCCAGTTCCAGAGGATCTGACACCTTCTTCTGATCTCTGCATGCATTGCACGACATGGGTGCACTTTACACACATGCAGGCAATACACTCAGACACATAAAATAAAAATAAATTTTTTAAAAAATAAAAGAAAAAGTTAATCTTATTTTGAAGTTCTCTAATTAAAGTTCTAATTGTAATGTGATTTCTATTGAAATACAGCTTGAAATTTCAGATATTTAAGCAAGTCATATTTCTCTATAAAAAGTTAACAATGGAAAAACTACTAAACTGGGTAGAAAATCATCAGGTTCTGAACCAAAGACACCTTTGTAGCATGTCAGAGTAATTACCATATGAGAACATGTGGTTTTCTAAAGGCAACTTCAAAACAGAACCAGAAGCTGCATGTGGTGGCACAGGTTTGTAATCTCAGCTACTCAGGAGGCATAAGGATAGAAAGTTCAAAGCCAGCCTAGGCAATTAGTAGACTATGTTTCAAAATAAATAAAATTCAAAAACAAAACACCTAGTAGTGTGATTCATCAGAGGGCCATTTGCCTAGAATCTGCCAGTGAGGGGCTGGGGTGTGGCTCAGCAGTAGAGCACCTGCCTAGAATCTCCCAGTAAAGGGCTGGAGAGTGGCTCAGTGGTAGAGCACCTGCCTAGAATCCCCCAGTGAGGGGCTGGGGTGTGGCTCAGTGGTAGAGCAACTGCCTAGGATCCCCCAGTGAGGGGCTGGGGTGTGGCTCAGTGGTAGAGCACCTGCCTAGAATCCCCCAGTGAGGGGCTGGTGTGGCTCAGTGGTAGAGCCCCTGCCTAGAACTCCCCAGTAAGGGGTTGGGGGATGTGGCTCAGAGGTAGAACACTTGCCTAGCATTTACCAGGCCTTGGGTTCCATCCCCAGCACCACAAAACAAAAAACAACTGAGAGTGTAACTACCAGGCTGTGGGAATCTTAAATGACTCCACTGGCCAGAATGTTCTCCTGACTCTTTCTTACCTTCATTCCTGTGGGTTGGGTGTCCCCTGAGGCCCAGGTGAACTAACACAGTTACTGAAGATCAAGTCATTCCTTCCTTTAGATAATTACCAAGTGTACCAAGTGTCTTCCTTCAGGGCACCAAAACAGAAGCAGAGAAGAGATGGTAGAAGACTCTTCCTTCTTTCTATCACCTGCCCTCATGCCCCCCCCCACCCCAACACAAGAAACTACAAGTAGTAATGATAGGTTTCTGACATTTAGGTTTTTACATGCCTATGGACTCTTATAAATGTCATATATGTTCTTGACTGTATTAACATTATTGCTACTTATGTGGGGGAAAGGCAGAAAAAACAAGGTACTATAAATTCAATTTGTTACAGATGCTTCTGAAAAGAAACTGTTCAAAGTTGGGTGTGATGGTGTAGGCCTGTAATCCCAGCACTAGGAAGTCAGAGCCAGGAGGATCCCGGTTCAAGGCCTGAGTTACATAGCAAGTTCAAGGCCAGCCTAGGTTGCATGTTGAAACTCTGGCACAAAAGTGGGAGGAAGGTAGGTATGATGGCTTCCTGTACTTGGGAGGTAGAGGCAGGAGGATCAGGAGTTCAAAGTTATCCCTGGCAGGGGCTGAGAACTTGGCAGACAGCCTGAGAGTGCCTGATCTGGCCTCCACCAGGTGTAGGGGCTAAGACCTCAGCAGCTGGCCTGAGAGCACCTGGATCCTGAGAGTGCCTGGATCCGGCCTCCATGTGGTGTAAATGGAATCCCACTGAAATGGGCCAATAACCCATGGAAAACAGATGATTCAGAGACTCGAAAGTTCACTGCCTTGCCACAATGGGAGGAAGATCGTCCCACACCTATCACCCCCTCCAAGGCTCGCGAACTTTGGTGGAAGAGGTGGATGGAAAGAACGTAAGAGCCAGAGGAAGGGGTGGAGTGTTAACTGGAAGTGTCCTCCAACCACTATGCCGGCAAGCTATAGTCACACCTCCTTCCCAAGCTCGCCAAGGAGTCTAGGGGGGAGTCAGTTACCCCTCCCACCCAATCAGTCCACCTTAGCTGAATGTGGGGGAGGGGCTAAGGGCATATAAGCTGAGAATGCCATGAGGCACCTCTCCCCATTTTTTGCAGCTGTCTGGAAGCCACAAGATCTATATTTGAGTGTGGATTTTCCAGCACAGCTATAAATGGGGGGAAGGGGGCTCCTACTCTTCTATAAATAAACCCCCACCCTTTGCTCTGTTAGCAAACCCAATAAACTCATTAGGGTTTTCCAAAAAAAAGAAAAGAACAGAACAGAGCTAATGGAAATCTTCATTATTCCACCAAAGTTGACTCCATGTTGGCAAATCCTTTGATTTCCTTTTTTTTAAAATTTTAAGTGTATGAGTGTATTGCCTGCATGTGAGTACACCCGTGTCATGCAATGCCATGGAGGTCAGAAGAGGGCTTTGGACTCCCGTGGAACTGGAGTTAAGGACGGTTCGTAGCCACCATGTGGGTGCTGAGAATTGAACCTAGGTCCTTCCTCTACAAGAGCAGTCAGTGCTCTTAACCACTGAGCCATCTCTCCAGCCCCATCCTTTGATTTCTTATTCTTATTTTTCCCCCCCTTAAACTTCATTGTATATATTTTTTATGTAACCTGCTTCAAGTTATTTCTGGAAAACTGCATTAAAAATTGCCTCTCTTTGGAATAAAAATATTCTAAAATCAAAACAAAACAAAAACTTAGCAGCAATATGACATACCAGTAGATGACTCTAAAGGTTCAGAGAGCAGATACATCATGATCATCACTACCATCATCATCAGGTAAGGCCTACTATAGGTTCTTGGTCTGTGAACTGTCTTCCCTAGGGCCATTTAGCACTTAAGCTACAGAACTCTCTAAGTCCAAAGGAAACCAACCAATGTCATCAATGTCAATTAATACTCTCATCTAGTTGGACTCTGGAGCTAGAGCGCTTGGCACAGTGCAGGTCCTGCATCACACCCACCTGGCAGCTGGCAAGTGATGCAGATTCCCAGCCTCCCAGCTGCAGCACAAACAGATCCCTCAATACTCACATTCAAACATGTGAGAATAATTTAAGGCAAGGCAAGGGCCAGGCTTTGGTATCCCTACGCTATAGACTTTATCTTTGTCCCCAAGTGACCAGGTTTCTATGCAAAGTCCCTCGCAAGACTGGTGGCCAGTGAACACAAATTCTCTATCTATAGTTGTGCTCTCAGCAGAGGAATCAGGAAGTTCCCACTGTGTGCAGTGATGTGAGACCCAGGGTGGGGTAGTGCACGAAGTCCACAGGTGCCCACAGATTGCCCGCAGGCCACAGTTTCTGCAGACTGTGATCCCCTACTGTCTCCTTGGTGTTTAACTTTCTGTGCAGGACCCAGTGCTGAGCCAAGAGGATGGTGTACTTTCCTATCTCCTCAGAGGTACCACAGACTCCAAGTGACGAGAGCACACTAAACAGGCATGAAGAAGCCTGCGGAAATGGCTCAGTCGGTTAAGTGCCTGCTGTGTAAGCATGAAGACCTGAGTCTGAGCCCCAGCATCCACGTACAAAGCTGGGCACAGGGGCACTTGTAATCCTAGCACTGGGAAGAGGGAGAGAGGAGGATCCCTGGGGCTTGCTGGCCAGTCAAGCCCCAGGTCCCCTTCAGAAACTCCATCTCAAAATCAAAAAAATCAAAAGGTAGATGGCTCCTGAGGAACAACATACAAGGCTGACCTCTGACCTCTACATGTATGTGGAAACATGCACACACATGTATGTGTGCAAATAACAAAAACAAGACAGCAACAAAAAAATCAGGCATAAGGGCCTAGAAATCAAGTCCCATCAGCCCAGGGAAATGAAGAATCAGGAGGAAAACTTTGTTTTCAGATGTGAGCAATAGCCCTCAGGACTTCTAGGATAGCACTAATACCATCAGCAGAATCTACAACAAGGACTACTTTTTCTGCATGCATGCAGTCCTTCCTCTTCTCTTCCCCATGTATTCTTTTTTTATATTATTTTATTTTCTGGCAGTACTGAGGATCAAATCCAGGGCCCTGTACTTGCTCAGCAAGTGCCTACTACTGAGCTATACCCCCTGTCCTTGGGGTTTTTTTTTTGTTGTTTTTTTTTTTGATAAGGGTCTCACTATGTCATCCAGGCTGCCCTTAAACTAGCAATCCTCCCCTCAGCCTCCCAAGTGCTGGAATTACATGTGTGTAGTCATCACACCCAGCTTGTTGGAGTTCTAACATGTCAGCAGGCATGCAGTCATTTCTAGGGCAGGAGTTCCATCCATCTGTTGCTATGACACCAGGCCCTCTTTTAGCTCTCCTTATATAGGACCTTACAGTCAGAAGAGTACTCTCTCTTCAGGGAATTAAGGTTTATAGAGATAAACTTGAGTTTTTCCCAGACTCTTCCTCATATACAAAACATTGGGGGAATCCCTTTCCTTCAGTGAGCTAGTGACTACAAATTTATCCATCTATACGAAAGCCTGAGAGAAATCAAACAGCCTGTTCTTCTAGGCTCAGTTGATAAATATTTCCTGTGCAAGTATGAGGATCTGAGTTCAATCTCTAGTATGCATGTAAAAAGTCTGGCATGTGCCAGGTATGTGCTTGTAATCCCAGTGCTGGGGGGGAGAAGACTGATGGATCTCTGCAGCTTACTGGCCAGTCAGTCTAGCCTAATCTGTAAGTCCCAGGTTCCAGTGAGAGACTCTGTCTCAAAAAAAAATTAAAAAAACAAAAAACAAAGTGGAAAGCTCTTGAGAAACAACACAAGGCTGACCACTGATCTCTATGTGCAAATGCACTTGCACACAAAGAACATACACACACACACACACACACACACAGAGTCTCTAAGACATGGCTGGCAAACTACAGCAATGAGCCAAATCCAAGCTACCTACTTTTGTCAATCAAATTCTCCTGACACAAAGCCAGGCCGCCCATTTGTCAACAGAGCATCTGCCATTGATGAAGCATTATAGTGGCAAAGTGGAGGGTGGGGATGCTATGACAGAGACAGTGTGCCCCACAATATTTACTATTTATAGAAACACTGACAAATCTGACTCGTGCAGAAAAAGTCTGGCGATCCCAGCTCCCAAGATACACAGCAATGCTATTGATAAATACATTAGAAGATGATTTTAGGGCTAGGGAGATGGCTCAGTCAGTAAAGTACTTGCCTTGCAAGTATGAGGACCTGAGTTCAATCCCCAGAATGCATGTAAAAATGCTAAGTATGGCGGGGCACGGTGGCGCACACCTTTAATCCCAGCACTTGGGAGGCAGAAGCAGGCGGATCTCTTGTGAGTTCGAGGCCAGCCTGGTCTACAGAGTGAGTTCCAGGACAGCTGGAGCTACAGGGAGACCCTGTCTCAAAAAGACAAAAAAAAAAAAAAGCTAGGTATGAGGGGCTGGAGAGATGGCTCAGTGGTTAAGAGCACCAGCTGCTCTTGCAGCAGTCCTAGGTTCAATTCCCAACACCCACATGGCAGCTAACAAGTGTCCACAACTCCAGTTCCAGGGGAATCTAATGCCTTTTTCTGACCTCTGCAGGCATTGCATGACACTGGTATACTTACATACATGTAGGCAATATACTCATACACATGAAAGTATAAATTGCCAGGCATAGTGGCTCATGCCTTTAATCCCAGCACTCGGGAGGCAGAGGAAGGCAGATCTCTGTGAGTTCAAGGCCAGCCTGGTCTACAGAGTGAGTTCCAGGACAGCTGGGGCTACAGGGAGACCCTATCTCAAAAAAGAACGCCCCCCCCAAAAAAAAGCATAAATTAAAAAAAAAAATAAAATGCTAGGTGTGGTAGCCCAGCACTGGGGAGGTGAAGACAGGAGGATCCCTGTTTAGTCAATCTAGTCTACTTAGCCAACTCTGAACCAACAAGAGACCCTATCTCAAAGAAGGTGGATAGTGTTCCTGAGGATGACATCCAAGACTGGTCTCTAGTCTCCACATGCATGTACACACACACATACACATACACATACACACACACACACACACACACACACACACACACACACATACACACACACTCCATTTTTAAAAAAGATTATTTTAAATGTCCTTGCCTTCTGTACTAACCTTAAAGTCTATTTCTGGATCCTTACAGCAGGAAACACAGTTTGCAATTAATACTATTAGTATTATTAAACTGCACACCGACAGGATCACAAACAAGGCAGGAACTTCTGCAGCAGGTGCCTCCCCTGCAAAGAGACAGAGTATGTTAAAAACACACAATTCCAAAGTCAACTTTAATTACCCAAACCAACATCTTTTCTTCTACATATAAATGGGACCAAGGGGTAATAAAAAAATAACATTTAGCTGCTCAAAAGGAGGTCAAGTGATGGCCAACCCAGGGCAAGAAGCTGCTTGGTTTTTTCCAACTTTTTATTTTAACCAAAGCTTAGGGCTGGAGAGATGGCTCAGTGGTTAAGAATACTGGTTGTTCTTGCAGAAGACCGGGGTTCAAATCCCAGCACCCACATGGCAGGTAACAACTGTCTATAACTCCAGTCCCAGGGAATCCAACAGTCTTTTCTGACCTCCGTGGGCACTGCATGACACAGGTGCATTTACCTACATGCAGGCAATACACGCATACACATAAAATAAAAAAATTAAATAAAAAAAAAACAAAAAACAACTGAAGCTTTAGAGACATGTTTCTAACACCCTTCACCCAGCTCCCACTAATGTCCAGATCTTATACTTGGAGGCACACTTCAACTCTAGGATAAAACTGGCACCATGGGCTTGGCTAAGCTTCAGGCTTCCCTTTGATTGGTTTTTCCACTACAGCCCTACCAATACCCAAGTTGAGACTATTTCCAGTCTCCTCCCAGCTCTCACAGTCTTCAGTCTCCCTAACTTTGATAATCTGAAGAGAACTGATCAGTTACATGTGGAATGTTCCTCAATGTGGGTGGCCAGGTATTTTCCCAGAATTATGGTGAAGATTACCAATATCTGGAAAGAATCTAAAACAGCACAGAGTGAAACACCTGGCCCCGATGCATGCAGCATGTCCGAGGCACATGACTTGTGCATGGTGGAATGAACTCTGGCCATGTATTCCACAGGAGTTTTGTCGCCATGGTTAACATGTGTCCCCCCTTTACAGACTCTATGCCCTATGAACAGATCCCAAAGCCCAGTATATATGCACTGATGAAGATATGAGAGGCCTAAAATGAACTTCAAACAGGATTAAGTTATTTTCCAGTAACCAAAGGTCTATTTGAATAAGAATACTGATGTTAAGTGGCTAACAGTGGAGCTGAGAAGCTGGCCGAGCCTTTCTGGAATCTGTGCATCATCAGAATACAGTAACCCAAGGGCTGTCAGGAGTCTGCTGCACACGTCTTTAATCCCAGCATTTGGGAGGCAGAGGAAGGTGGAGCTCTGTGAGATTGAGGACAGCCTGGTTCAGTGAGTTCCAGGCCAGCTGGGGATACAGTGAGACCGTCTCAAAAAAACAAAACAAAACAAAAAACCAGGGGGCTGGAGAGATGGCTCAGTGGTAAAGAGCACTAGCTGTTCTTGCAGAAGACCAGGGTTTGAATCTCAGCACCCACATGGCAGCTAACAACCATCTGTAACTCCAGTTCCAGGGGGTCCAACACCCTCTTCTGTCCTCCAAGGGCACGGCACGACACAGTGCACTTACATACATGCAGGCTTAATACTCATACACATAAAAATAATTTTAACAGCAACAAAAAAAAAAACAACAAAAAACAAAACCAGGGCTGGAGAGATGGCTCAGCAGTTAAGAGCACTGGTGGGCTGCTCTTCCAGAGGATCCAGATTTGATTCCCAGTACGTACATGGTGGCTAACAACTGTCCGTAACTCCAGTTCCAGGGGATCCAATGCCCTCTTCTGGCCTCCACAGGCACTGCATGACATGAATGTACCTACCTACATGCAGGCAATACACTCATACACAAATAATGTTTTTTAAAAAACCAAACCCAAACAAAAAAATAATCTGCAAGTAGGGAATCTCAGCACCCACATGGCAGCTAACAACCATCTGTAACTCCAGTTCCAGGGGGTCCAACACCCTCTTCTGTCCTCCAAGGGCACGGCACGACACAGTGCACTTACATACATGCAGGCTTAATACTCATACACATAAAAATAATTTTAACAGCAACAAAAAAAAAAACAACAAAAAACAAAACCAGGGCTGGAGAGATGGCTCAGCAGTTAAGAGCACTGGTGGGCTGCTCTTCCAGAGGATCCAGATTTGATTCCCAGTACGTACATGGTGGCTAACAACTGTCCGTAACTCCAGTTCCAGGGGATCCAATGCCCTCTTCTGGCCTCCACAGGCACTGCATGACATGAATGTACCTACCTACATGCAGGCAATACACTCATACACAAATAATGTTTTTTAAAAAACCAAACCCAAACAAAAAAATAATCTGCAAGTAGGGCTATGGGGGTGGTTCAGTGAGTAAAGTGCTTCCTGAGTAAATGCAAGGACCCGAGTTCAGATCCCCAACACCCTTGTAAAGTCAAACACTGTAGGGCACATCTGTAATGCTCTGCACATCCTAGCATTCCTAGGGCTAGATGGGAGGTGGAGACTGGAGACTCTCTGGAAGCTTACAAGCCAGCCAGCCTAGCATATGCAGCAATGGTAGGTAAGGACCACCACCTGAGGTTATCTTCTGTCATGACATATACACACAAAAATTAATGTATGTGCATACACACAGACACACAAAGATTTTTAAAAAAAGAACCAACAAGTTCTTAGTCAAAAAATCTAGAAGGAGGGCCAGGTGTGGTGGCACTTTAATCCCTGCACTACTGGGGCTGAGGCCAGTGGATCTACATAATGAGTTCCAGGCCAGCTGGAGCTACAAGGAGACGCTGTCTCAGAAAACAAAAACGAAAAAAAGTCTAGAAGAAAGACGATTCCATACAATTATTAACACAGGAGGAAACCTCATGGCTCAAAGCCAAACTGAAGGAAAATCAGTATAAAGCAACCTTTCCTGAGAATAAGGAATTTCTAACCAGGCACTTTTTCAGACACCCAGGAAACGTGTACAGGGCCTGAGCCCCTGGGAGCCACTTTTCCACAAATGGAGACAAAAAGGGGTCCTTCTTTTCCTCCTCCCTGCAGCTGGCTAGGCACTTTATGTGGTCTGACTAGGGCTTTCCACTGGTATTTATTCTTTGTGTCTGTGTGTACATGTTTGTGTGTGGACGACATAAGTTGATACCAGGTGCCTTAGTTGCTCTTCACGGTATTTTTTTGAAACAAGGTCTCTCAGTGAACTCGAATCTAATTAGGCCAGAATGGTTGGTCAACAAGTCCCAGGCATCCTCCTGTCTCTGTTTCCTGAGTACAAGGATGGCATGTGTGCACTACTGAATCTGGCTTTTTTACATGGGTGCTGGGGGTCAAACGCAGGTCCTCATGCTTGCTCAGGAAGCCCTTTGCTGACTGAGCATCTTCCTAGTCCCTCCACTGAAACTGATTTTTAAAACTCTAACTCACCCCCCTGAACTCACAAATAAAGATCAAACATTAATGACCTCAGAGGATTATAGAGGCAAGTGCTTTCATGTTCAACATGTAAGATTTTATGAACAGTTTGTCTACTACTTATGTTTTTCATGTGTACATATGTTTCCATATGTGTGGGTGCATGTGTGTGTACGTGTTATGTTCACATATGTGCATGTGCTTGTGAAGGCTAGAGGTTGAGATCAGGAATCTTCGTGCTCACTTTTGCATCTTATTATTTTGAGGTAGGATCTCTCAATGAAACCCAGAGCTTGTGGACACAGCTAGTTCAGTCAGCCAACTTGTTCTAGGATCCAAAGTCTCCACCTTCCAAGGCTGGAATTACAGGTGGGCCACCACACCCATCTGCCATTCACATGGGTTCTGGGGATCTGAACTCCAGGCTTCTTGACTGTGAGGCAAGTACTTTAACCATTGAATCATCTCCTCAGACCTCATTTTTTTTCTCTGAAACAGATTCTTGTTATGTAGCCTAGGGTGGCCTCAAACTTAGAATCCTCCTGTCTCAGCTTCCTGAGTGCCAGAATTATAGATGCACACCACCCTGCCCAGCTTGCCCACCACGTTTTAACATTTCTGAATTTTGGGTGCATCATGCTTGAAACCAAGTTGGTTTATCTGGCAGTATTCATTCTTTGTAACAGTATAAAAGGAAAGTTATGGCTTATAGTCAATTGCATTGGATTGATGAAACACAGCATCATTCTATTTGATCATCACAACACCCGGGTAACTGGATAAGCTCAATGTCACAGATGAGGAAACTGATACACCCAGAGCTCAAGGAGGGAGAACAGCACAGCCAGACTCCGAAAACAAGTGTTAAGATTTATTCCTACCCTTGGAGCTGGAAAGATGGCTCAATGGTTAACAGCACTGGCTGCTCTTGCAGAGGACCCAGGTTCAGTTCCTAGCACCTACATGGCAGCTAACAACCTTCGGTAACTATAGTTCCAAGGAATCTGACGCCCTCTTATGGCCTCCATGGGCAGTGCATACACATGCTGCACTTATGTTCATGCAGGCAAAACACTCATACACATAAATATATCCCCCCAAAAAGTTTTGGAGTTCTACCTCCTAGATAAAAGGGCTCTGAAGCATCTAGCTACAGGGTTAACTCTGAACTCTTATGGAACCCTAGTGTACTTTAACCCAAGTCTTCTGTTGCCCACTAAGGCAGCGGTAGCCTTCTGGGGGTCCCCTTCTCAAACTCCACAAAGCTGGCATTAAATTACCTTCTCCTCTCTTCAGCAAGTGTGATGTATGAAAATTCAGAGATGTTAAAATGTGGTGGGCAAGCTGGGCTGGGTGGTACACATCAATAATTCTGGATCAGGAAGCTGAGGCAGGAGGATTGTAAGTTTGAAGCCAGCCTAGGCTACACATAGCAAGACCCTGCCTCAGAAAAAATGTTGACAGCTGAGGGGGTGACTCAGCAGTTAAAGTACTTGTCACATAAGCAAGCATCCAGGAGTTCCCTAGTTTTATCAAGTACTAATGCACTTCTTATAAAACTGGATCACAGGGCTGCCTGAAGGTCAACCCGATTATCTGATTCACAAATTGGTCATCTGTGAGTCATTAGGTAGGCATGAAAAGTCAAAGCCATATTCAAAACAGCAAGTCCTGCCAAGTAGCTCCGCCCCAC